TATCTAACGCGAAAATTTCGCATTCAGAAGACATACATTTGTATGAGTTTTTTTACTTTTAAACTAATTTTCTTGTTTATAAAGAAAGCTAAACCTCCACCTTTGGATTGGCGGTCTAGACGAAAGGTTTGGAAGTTAGGTAGGTGAAATAAATGATGTGTGGATACCCAAGTTTCTTGTAATGCAATAATAGCCGGATCGAATTTGGAAGACAGGCATAACAGATCTGTAATGGCTGAGTGAAGAGATCGGCAATTCCAATGTATAATTTTAAGAGACCCTATGATTTCGTTAACATGGTTTCGGCAATCACCTTATCTAAAATACTTTCTTTTAAGAAATCGGTTTTTGAAAGGTTGTCTTTCTGGTATTTCTTGCTTTTTACATGTTTCGGCAAGCCAGGTTTTTTTGATACAGGGGATCTAGAACGCTTTAGACATTTGAGATCTATGTCCATATCTTATGTGTCCTGAGAAGCTTCCTGTGCACCCTCGCTTTGGCTCTGAACGCCTTCTCCAGAGGGCTCTGCAGACTGTGCATCCGGTGGAGTTATCTCAGATTCTGCCTCACTTGTCGGGTATGCCGACTCAGCATTTTTTACAGCCGTACTTATATCTATCTGTGCTCCATAGACTTGTGTGATTCGGCTATTCACAATGTGCGACAGCGACTCACATAGGGTGGTAGCAAGGCGTTGCATAGCCTTATCCACAGCCTTCTCGGTCATGTCCGCAATCGATAGGGAAAAGGATGCTTCCATTGCTATGTTATGGCGGGCAGCTGCTCCTGCATACCCCTGAGTTCGGGCTTGGATTTAAGCAATGGAATTCTTTCGGGAGCATCGCCTTCTGTCTACAATTTTAAGGATTTTGATTTCACGTGTCTTGGCTGAGCAGTTTGGGTTATCAGCGCAGTGTGCTTCATGGCAAAGACAGCACTTTTCTTCATTACTTTTACAGTCGTTTGAGTGGTGCGTCTCACCACAAATTCTGCATCTAGGTACTGACCTGCATCCTTTCACTGTGTGCCCATAACGCCAACACTTAATACACTGTAGGGGACGAGGTGATAGTGGCTCCACTCTGTATATTAAAGGCCACGCTTTGATTTCGGTTGGGCGATTCGACCCGGCAAATGTAGCAAACACGGACTCCGTTGGGATCTTGTTCTTGTCCACAACTCGACTACATCTATAGATAGCTATCACACCTGCTTCTGAAAACATATCTAATATCTCAGTTAGGGTCATGTTGACATCGACACCCCGAACGAGGCCTTTGACGCAAGCTAGGTGAGGTGGAATGAATGCGCTCACCGGGTTGGTAGCGAATACCGAGCATTTTAGTAGGTCTCGAACACAGAGCTGGTCAGACGAGAAGCAAAGAATGCCACCCTTGCCGAACTGCCTGACCTCTGTGATGCTTTGGTAGTGAGTTGTAGCGGCTTTCAACTCCGTCTGAATCATTTTTGGATTCTTCATCCGTATAATACCATCGTTGCTTGGTACCAATGCCACAGGAACGGGTGAGATGCCATTGCGTAAAAACAAGTCCACTGGCAATTCCTGCGAAGGAAGAGAAGCAGACCAGAGGAAAGCCCCTGGTCTAGGTGAGGAAAACGGCATCTGCCTGGTCGTACTATCTGAAAATACACTCGCTAATCAATTAGGACACTATAGAAACGCTTACGAAAAAAAAAAGAATACACAAAATCAATCACAACTACTGAATTCTTGGCCAAACCCTCAGAGCAGGCAAACGTCAGTCGCTGATCCACCGTGGCCAGCGTGAATGCCAGGTTGACTCGCCGCTTGGAATGCCTCTGCGCCAGAGTACTTCCTCTTCTTTACAATACTAATAATATCTGGCATTCCAATGTCTCAAACCATAGTTGAGAGCTCCGGACGTTCTGGTGTTCTTTAACCTGCACCGACATCGCATAGTACACGAGCTTCTCACATATCGCCTTCGCCGAAATGCGACTGCCATCTCAGGGATCGAAGCCACGACCTGCGTATCAGCAGCTGAGCACCGTTGCCACTGTTGCACCGCAGTACACCTCACTGCCGACCCCGGTGATCTCTTGAGCATAAGGAAACACGTGCGACTATAATCGCATTTGTGGTGGCACCCCCCCCCCCCCACACACACACACACTTCATTATTCAGGGGTAAAGTACGTCGGTATTTATCTTTCTTTGCCATGTAAACCAATTTTCGCAAACCGATGCAACTATATGCAGGATCCCGGCCTCTTTGAGCCGATAGATTTGCAGCTGAAAACTACGACTCATTTCATGCGAGCAAGTTTTTTTTTTTTTTTCGATTCCATGCGTAGCATGACATCACAATTCCTCATTTAACAATATTTGAATAATGCACCGACGGAAGATTAAAAACACCGCTTTCAGTGAAACCACAGTGAAACTTCAAAGCAGTGTGCCAAGAAACTGCAAATTATCAGAGCAAAGAACCTCCCAAATGAATTCTAGTCCCATTCCTTTTTGTTTAGACGTGTTTAGAATGTGCTCACTTTTTTGTAAAGCACATGATATTTGAAATAAAGTAATAATCTCTGTACTTGAATACTGTAAAACCTCTTCGCAGTTTGGCTACACCCCATCACAGACGATTAATTAATTGTTCAACTTAGTAAGATGTAATTACTGAATAATTATGATTTCAATGTACCAGCTTCCATTGCTCACGATGGCGCGTTTTGACTGCATGTATCGGCACGTCATCATTTATTCACATGCCGCTTAGCTGCTACATCCTGGTATACGTCCGCTTGGTTATAGCGACACTGACTGCATCATTCTTTTCGTATTTCGTGCGTAGATAGTGCCACAAGGCAGTAGTGGGATTGGGGCAAAAAGCGGTAGAGGGTCCCTGCCTGAAAGAAAAGACTACGAAGTGGATAGAGACTGGTCCCAGCCCGCCAGTGTGCCAGGCATTGTCGTCGCCTGTAATCGTCGTAAATATCTGCAAATATGCGTTTCCTTGTAAGATTATTGGTGGAGGTGCTGGCTACGCCTACCTGGCTTTCCCGGCAAACCAACACGGAACTTCGGAGTGGTCGCCACCTTCATTTTCCTGCAATGGCTCAACAGGCCCACCCACAAGAGCAACAGCAGCCGTAGCAACAGCAACAGCAACAGCAGCAGCAGCAGCAGCAGCAGCAGCAGCAGCAGCAGCTGCTGCTGCTGCTGCTGCTGCTGCTGCCTCTTCTTATTCTCCTGCCTCCACGAGACCCCGGAACCTTCGCGGGCACAGGCAAAGACAAGGTGAATGTTGAAGATCGGGTCGCATTGTACGAGCGCGTGAGCGAATACTATAGGTGGGACCCTACGTTGATGCTGGCCAACGTTGTATTTTACTTGCGGGATACAGCGCTCACCTGGTATGAGACGCATGAGTCGGAGTTGACCAGCTGGGACGTTTGCAAACTGAAGCTTGTCGAGTTATTCAGCAGGTTATTTGGGCGACAGCAGGCCGCGAGGAAAGACCAGGAAAGACGTCGCGTGTAATCGTCGTAAATATCTGCAAATATACGTTTCCTTGTAAGATTATACGTGCAGGTGTGTTCAGACATGTATAGTATTTTGGATGGAATAACAGTGAAACATGTGGGAATGCCTTTCTTTTTTCTTTTTCTTTTTTTTCGTCTGGTGCTCCCATGGCGTCAATCAGCAGCGGGAGACGGAAAACAGCCAGCGCGCTTGACCAGCTTCGCTGACCGGTTTCACTAGAATCACTTAGTGACCTTAGTGATTCGCGCGCTCACTGGGGGCTCTGGGATAGCAGGAAAAATGGTCTATTCATTGACTGGAAAACAACAAATCTACGATTCTCCGCGAAGTAAATTATGACGAGTGGGCGAAGCTAAAAGACAAGGTCCATATATGCTCAGGTCGCCGACTATAATTAAGGCTTGTGCTTGTTTTATATTGTTCTCACCCAATTATAGCTAAATTATTGTTCAACATTTTTTATGTCTCACATATGTTGCCCGAGCGTTGCCCCATGAAATGTAAATTGAGTGACATTAACAGTCGCCGGAAAAGCTAGGTCCTAAGGTCCGTAATAGGGAGTTTTCAAATAGGGGCCCCAAAGAAATAGCGTCATGACCACTGCGCGTGCGCGAAACCCAAACCACGGCTTGGGGACGCTATTTCTCGAATTAAGCGGGAGCCGCCTGCCCCAAAAGTTTTGGGTCAGCACCCACTGAAGCGACGGCTCTCGGCCAACACCAGAGTGACACGTGTTCTGTGGTGACACAGAATAGGAGGAGTGTCCAAAGCGCGGCAGACCCTATTCGAAAACTCATCTGGCTTGACCCAAAGCGTCCGTACGCAATGGGCTTTGGGGCCCATTTTCGATGCTTCTGGGTGTTTCATATTCTCCCGCCGCAATTATGATTGATATTAGTCTATTGTTAAACCTATTTGAGTGTGCGTGGTCGCGGGATCGAATCCCGGCTGCGGTGCCTGCATTTTCTATGGAGGCGGAAATGCTGTAGGCCTGTGTGCTCTGATTTGGCCGCATGTTAAGGAACCCCAGGTGGTCGAAATTCCAAGAGCCCTTTACTACGGCGTCTCTCATAATCATACGGTGGTTTTGGGACGTTAAACCCCACATATCAATCAATATATTTGTGTGTGTGTGTGTGTGTGTGTGTGTGTGTGTGTGTGTGTGTGTGTGTGTGTGTGTGTGTGTGTGTGTGTGTGTGTGTGTGTGTGTGTGTGTGTGTGTGTGTGTGTGTGTGTGTGTGTGCATGCGTGCGTATGTGCGTGCGTGCGTGCGTGCGTGCGTGTGTCACGTTCACGCATCTCCCCGTGACAACGGACAGCGTAGACGTGGATGGACAAGCCTCTGCCCTAAGACGGCAAGTCACTGCACGATACGCCGCATTGAAGCGTTCGAAATTCCCGCGTTGAGGCGCAGGCAGCCCTGCTCAGCTAGAGGTCGCAACATGGAAACCTAAGGCGAGGGACTGAATGTATGGGGAGCCGCTGCATCCGCACAAAATTCGCTTCGCACAGGCTCAGGGCAAAGGCGCCCGAAAGTGCCGAATTCCACGGTGGCATCGGACACAGAAGAAAGAAATTCTACGAGCACGTCGTCACAGTCGTCAACACGTTACTCTTTATTCACTAGACATCTTCAAAAGTTATTTCCGGCGTGGTGGAAGCCAAGCGAGGGCATGTCGCGTAAAACTGTGGTGATGTGGACAGCAGTCGGTTTCGGCACTGTGGTCGTGGTTTCCATTGCAACAACAGCATTTCTACGGAAGCGAAAACAAGCGAAGGCAAAGCGAGTGATAGACACGGTAAGGCAGTTACGGATTTCAACTGATTACTAGCTCTGCTCTCGCGCTTAAAGAAAAAAGAAAAAAAAAAACCTGGCAAGCCCGTGAAAGGCTAAATTCCTTTTGGCGTTGCATAAAAGGTTGCCAAACTGAAAGTGTCAGTGTTGTCAGATTGCTGCTAAATTTGACTGCAAAAAAATTTTTTAGTTGTGGCTTTTTTGTGAGGATTTGGTGCCATCCTCGGTGCAATTCGCGAACGAGCGACGCTGGCCGTTTTAATTAATGGAATGAATCGCGCCTAGAAGTAGTCGAACGTGGCACTGCCGTGCAATTAGGAGCCCGTTTTAATTAACGGAATGAACCGCGTCTAGCAGCAGTCGAGCGCGATTGGATAAAGCAGCTCGATAAAGCAGCCTTCCAGGCGTACATAGCTGTAGCATATCCGACGTACCCCGATTAACCAGCCTTGGAACGCTTATTCATCACATGTATATACGAGTCCGAACGATATGTCTTGTGCTGACACAGCTAGGGGAAGCGTAGCGTCCCCCGTCGTAGCGCGCGGTCGACGTGACATGATCAGCTGAGAGAAAAAAAAGTAAGGGGGGAGGGGGGCAGCGCATCACCTCCTGCGACTCTATTCAGTTTTCCCCGTCATCCCTAATACTGAGACGCGATATCTTAATTGCACAGCTGTGCACACAGCAAGAGAACGCGCCCCGACTTCTGCTAGGCGCGGTTCATTCCGTTAATTAAAACGGCCTCTTGATTGCATAGCAGCGCCGCGCTCGACTACTGCTAGGCGCGGTTTATTCCGTTAATTAAATTGGCCTCCGAATTGCAGGGCAGCGCCGCGCTCGACTTCAGTAACGCGCGGTTTATTCCGTAAATAAAACGAATTCTGTAACGCGCGGTTCATTCCGTTAATTAAATTGGCCTCCTAATTGCACGGCAGCGCCACGCTCGACTTCTGCTAGTCTCGGTTCATTTCGTTAATTAAAACGAATTCTGTAATGCGCGGTTCATTCCGTTAATTAAAACGGAATTAAAACAGCCTCTTAATTGCACGGCAGCACCACGCTTGACTTCTGCTAGGCTCGGTCCATTCCGTTAATTAAAACGGCCAGCGTCGCTCATGCACTCACCAAATGCACCGCGGATGGCACCAAATTTTTACGGAGAAGCCACAACTACAGGAGAAAAGTTTTTAGCCAAATATAGAAGCAGTCTGGCAACAACCACCCCAAAGTCTGGCAACTGATTTATGCAACGCCAAAAGGAACCTTGCCCCCGTGAGGCACTGTCCCGCGGGAATTACCCATGTACGCTTCGTCCTTCATGAGGGCCAAGAACACTGATATGTGTGATTAATCATGCTTTTTCTTGCATTCCCTTAAGTCACCGCCGCGGTTACTGTTTCTCGTGACAATGCAGTGTCGCGTAACATAGACTTTCAATCTGCCAGGAGAAAAGTCGCAACCTAGTTACAACTTGAAAAAAAAAAAAAAATTGAAGCTCCACTTGGGCATCACTATGCTACCCAGGAAGGACACGTGAAAGCGTTTTAACTAGTCGCACTTCCTAATTATCGTTACGCTAATCGCGCGTCTCAGATTCCGTGCAGACACGTGTTCGCGTCATAAGTTGAAAAATTGAACGCCGCGGCAAGTTTTATCAGAGAGTATAACACCGTTGCATAGCCAAAGATCATATCTTGGGTAGGAACGACCTACCTTTAGTTTCCGATATGCGTGCGTTTTAAATAAATGCCGGGGAAATGTTTAGAAATCGAAAAGCAACGAGCCTGCACAACTATCTTGCATGGGCGATTAACAAGCGCTGTCCAGCTTTGCGGGCGTAGCTTGTATTTATTCTTAGGCTGTAACCAACCATTCACCCTTTCGAGGTTACGATAGAAGCAGCAAGCGTTGCACCCGAAGATACTTGCGATCACTTCATTTGTCATTGTATAACACCGAACCACCGAAACGTAAACCACGTCCTAATGTCACAGCTTAAGTAATGCGGCTTTTTACGTTTTCGGATAAAATAAAGGTTCCCAAAATTAAAACCTTGCAAACTCTTGTGTACAGCAAATAATATTTAATTGGCATATTTGGCTAAACACACAGGTAAAAGTGTAAAAAGTTTATGGGCTTCTCATCTAAGCTTTTCAGCTCTGCCATTGTTATGCTGCATCGGTGGCTTAAACTAAAAGCTGTCCAAGCACGATCGTGCACATTGTCTTGTTGGTAGTAAATGTGCGCACAAAGGCACTGATGACTATGCTCTATTATTGGCCTGCCAAAGTTACTGTGCCCGGGGATCATCAAAGTGCCTTCGGGTGTGCCGGTTTTTCACAGAGTGCCAGGATTATAGTGCATGATTTAGCTAGATGAAGAGCATAAGCTGGCAGAATCACCTTTCACACATATTAATGGTATTGATTATTAGCAAGTTTTAGTACTGTGTGTATAGCATCTAGTAACAGTGTTATGTACCCAAGAATGCTGCATTTCGAATAGAGCACTGCCACAGAAGTGCTCGTGGTCACTATGGAAAATGTTGCGTTCTTTTGTATGCAATGCCATTATATAACCATATACACAGTACTAAAACCCGTCATAAGAGGGTAGGAAGCTTAGGGAGGCATGCAAAGGTAGCATTTGTTGCGTATGTACACTACTTTTGTCACTTTACGAGGTTACCCTAGAGGATAGCATATGACACATGTGCAATGGTGACTAACATGACCGCAAAGCTTTGTGTACCCTGTTCTGAAGCTATTTTTAAAACAGGTCGTACAAAGAAAGACTTTATTGCATACGTTCACTATTTTAGTTGATTAAAGGGCTGCTGACACCAATTTTCGAAGCTTAGGTTACTCTGTCATACAATTCGTCTGTATACAGAAACCACTCTGTTCAAGTGGGAAGCTCAGGAAATGCTGGTAAGACATTTTATTTTGATATTAAAGTCAGCTTTCGTACAGGGGACCTATTGGCATCAACACTAGCATGATATCAGACTACAGCGTCATTTCTGGTGATTTCACACACCGGTATGGCAAGCTGTGATGATTTAAGGTACCAAAAATTACAACGTGGCCGCTTGCACGTCACCTAAAGCATTCAAAATGGTCGCTTGTGCTTCAACAATAAAGTAATGCTGTGGATTGGGCATGGAAATGTGGCGACATTCTGTGCGAGCTTGTGACGAGAAGCTCGTACCGTGTCGTGGCATCAGGGTACAGTGGAAACTGAGACTAAAGTTTAAAAACATAAAAACATACTGCAATTATTTTTCAGGGTGCTCTAATATTCACAAGTACATTTTCTTGGCTTTTGAGAAGTTTGTCTTTCACTTGTTGCATAAAACCGTAAACTAAAAAATTTTCATGTCAGCACCCCTTTAACTTAAGTACCCAGGAGGACAGAACATGATGCACGCACAGAAGTGAAAAATGCTAATGCGAAGCGTTGCATACCCTATTACAAAAAAATGCAGGCAGTTTGCAGTAAGTCACGCTAAACTTTGCCCAGCAAAGTGAGTGCCCTTTGCTGCTCTTACTCTCCAGCAACCAATACACCTAGCTTCGAGATGCACGGCTTCCTCCTCGGTCTACATTTCTCTTTCTCATTCTTTCTCTGCTCCGCTTCACTCTCTCTCCTCCTTATCATACTCACTCTCCTTTCCAACATCGTTGCTGTACTATACTAGGCTATGTTATGCTTTGCTAGGCTACCTGGGCAAGCTGAGTAGTTTGGACGCTTGCCTTCGAATCGAGGATATGCGGACCTTCCTCGTGAAGAATTTTTTCAGCACGAATTTCACTCTTTCTTTAGATTCTTTCATCTCTGTTTCTCACTTCCTTTCTTTCTCTGTACTCTTTCTCAGGGTTACTACAGGCCACGCCGTAGCACTGAGTTCTGGGATTTGCCCGAATTTTGTGGCACATACCCGTTCAAGATGATAATGGTTTTTGGGCATGGTCATGCTCCTCACAATATAAGCCGAGCAAGTACACCTTCGCTGTTAAAACTCTCTACTGTCTAGTTTTAAAATAGGGAACACAAAGCTTTGCTTTAACGTTTGTCACCACTATACATGCATCGTCTGCTATGCTCTTGAGCAAACTCACTCATGTGTCAACTCACTCAGACTCTGATCAAACCATGAGTCTTAGAATGAGTGAGTAATATTATGGTGTGTTTGAGTCAGAGCGAGTGTGGTCAAAAAAAAAAATTAAAAATCTGTGAGTCCATGTCCAAGTGAGTTTGCTTGAGGAAAGTTATGGTGAGTGTGAGTCCAAGCGAGCCCTTAGGGCAAAACATATTTCATGCGCGAGTCTGAGTGAGCTCCACATTTTTTACTGACCTACGCATGCTGCTAGCTACACACCTTAATTGAAGGAAATTATGTACCTACACGAGTGTCATCTTTGCATACCCTACTCTGAAAGTGCCAGTTAAAACAATTCGTTGCACCAGTTTTTCGTGATGGCCCCACCGCAGTGGTCTAGTAGCTAAGATACTTGGCTGCTGACCCGCAGGTCGCGGGATCAAATCTCGGCTGCCGCGGCTGCATTTCCGATGTAGGCGGAAATGTTGAAGGCCCGTGTGCTCAGATTTGGGTGCACAAAAAAGAACCCCAGGTGGTCGAAATTCCTGAAGCCCTCCACTACGGTGTCTCTCATAATCATATGGTGGTTTTGGGACGTAAAACCCCACATATCAATCAATCAGTTTTTCGTGGTGGATATAACCGTTTGATATCCAAGAAAGAAACATATGCGTAATGTGGTTCCTTTTTCTCAGATGTCTCTTAAAAGCTGGATATCTCAAGGATGGAAACCTCTCTTGATTTTTTGTGTGTTTTAATACCAGATATTGGAACTCCAAAAGCCCTGTGTTCGGATGAAAGATCCTGAGCGTGTTGAGGAGCTTGTCTGCAAATTGATTAAAGGTGGACCAAAGAAGCTACAGGTATAAGCATCATTTTATATAAACCATGAAATTAACCGCTTAATACTGTAGCTGCACACAAATATGTACAAACTTTATCACCATGTATTGTTAGATTTTTGTGTTTTGTCTCATTACCATATTCTTGATTGAATTGAACAGTAACTATGTACATACTACATATTCTTGGTTGAGTAGAAACTACATAACTACATACAGTTACATTGATTTGATTTTTTTGTGGCTCAGGTTGTTACAGATTTCGACCACACAATTTCAAGGTCACATTTCAATAGAAAACATTGCTGTTCAACTCACGGTAAGAAACCAGTGAACTTCTGTGTTGATGAAGAATCATAATTAATTTCATGTTTACATTTAATCAAGTATGTGGATCAATATAAAGTACTTGCACTGTGCTTGATATTTTATATTTTGTAATTTGCAGAAGTCATTGAATCCAGCCCGAATATCCCTGAGGAGTACTGCCTACAGGTAAGGCAAACACGGTTAGCCAGCTCAAACAAAGTACACGATTATGTAACGGCGCAATACGATAAAGTGAAACACTGGTGATAAAAAATTCACAAAGACAAGCACCGGCGTGTGGCACTTCTCTTTTTGTCATATTTATCGCCAGTGTTTCGTGTCTCTGCATTGTGCTATTACATAATCATGAACCTTTACCAACTCGTCCAACTATCAGTACTACTCGAGTGACATAGCGTGCTGGTATAATTCTCACTATTGCAATACTTTTCTTGTTGCAGGCACGGAAATTGCACGACAAGTTCTACCCAATCGAAATTGATCCTCATATTTCAACAGAAGAAAAAATACCTCAAATGGTAGAATGGTACTCGCAATCACATGCTATTCTAGTCAGCTGTGGTGTGGAGAAACACGATTTTCCTAAGCTTGTGGCAGACTCGTCGATTATGTTGAGGTTAGACTAATTGATGCTTTGGGTTATGTGTGTACATCTTTGGTGCATATTTTAATTGAGTTGCGTATTCTTGCAGAGATGGCTGTGAATCACTTTTTGAGATGCTGCACGAGCATCAGATACCCACTCTGGTATTTTCTGCTGGCCTTGGCGACATTTTGGAAGAAGCACTGAGGCATTTCCACTGCCACTTTCCGAACATGATGTTCGTCTCCAATTATATGCAGTTTGATGAAGAGGCAAGCTTCATATTTTTCCTTCAGAAAGCCTTCTTAGCCTTGGTATAAACCATTTTTTAATATTATAACAGAACTGGCTAGAATGTTAACCTCTTGCATAAATTGGTTATTTGCATGAAAAATATTGTGGAAAAATGGATAGAAAAATAATCTTGCCTTGCACACCACTTTTCACTTTGAATTTTGCACAAAGCTATGACTTTGATGACAGGTGACATTGCCTTCTGCTACTGACAGATAGCCGTGAGTGTCAGTGGAATACAATGTCTTTGAGTGGTATATGTTGTCCTTCTGTGCGTGGAACACACACAAAGAAAATAAATTGAGGCTTCATCATAAGTTCTGTATAGATTGCTAAAATTACTAAGTGACATCCCCAGAATCGATCAGTGCTGTTGAAAGTTGCGTACGGGCAGTTTTTCCTGCTTTCAGAAATGTTGAAAAGGTTCGTGGTACTGTTCAATATTGAGAGCTTTTAAACATATTCATCAATATAAAATGAAGTGCTGTACAAGTATTTTATTTTGTATGTTTTTAAAAGAACACCATATGTGAATATGTCCCCAAAATTATTGTTCTAGTTCAGGTGCATAGCCAGATATTTTTTTTGGGGAGAGGGGGCACCGTTTCGATTTTGGGAGAGGCAACCCCTTAAAATGGCCAGTTTTCGCTCTTTATGCAATGGCAAAAAAATTTTGAGGGGCGGGGGGGGGGGAGGGCAGGAAGGGGGCACATGCTCTGTGTACAATCCCTTGGCTACACCCCTGCTCTAGTTACAAACACCATGTTTCACGGGTTACACACACACAAGCATAATAAATGGCAGTTGAAGTGAGCCACTTTTATATCTAGTGTCCCAGATGACGCATCAGTATATGGCAACCATTAGCAAGCTGCAGGGGACATTTTTTACACAATGTTGCTTATCTGGATCTTCAGAGGGCAGCTTATACCGTTGTGTTAGCAGAGTATCAAGTGCTTATTCATACGTCTATACGATATACACCAGCATTTTCTCTCCCACAGCTTGTATGCACTCCAAAAAGTGATTGCATGCATGTGCCAGTACAATGCTTGGTGTCATCATTGTACCATTCATTCATCGAAATTGTTTTTGTGTTGGTGCCACTTTGTCGCTGGAGCACATAACATGATGCATTTGGTGCTGTCCTAAATGAAAGTACACTTGAAGGCCGCAAGTTTCATCCTGGCTACAGCGGTTGCATTTCAATGGAAGCGAAATGCCAGAGGCCCGTGTACTGTGTGACGTCAGCGCACATTAAATAATACCCGGTGGCTAAAATTTTCAGAACCATTCACTACAGCATTCCTTATCATCATATTGTATAGCTTTAAAATCTAAAACACCACATATTGTTGAAAGAAGTACTAAATGTCGAGGTGTGAATGTGCAATTTTAGCGACCCCATCTCGTGAAGTGTTGGCAATTGTGAACTCCTTGTGATACCTCAAAGCATGAGCTCGCATCAGCAAAAGGTGGTTAGCAGTAAATGAGACCTCAACCACGCACTTCTATGGCAGTAGACGTATTCATGTAAACAGAAAGCAGTGAGCACAAAGTTCTGCTTCAACTTATTATGCAAAAATACTAGCTTTTTTTGTAGTGGCTAGAGCTAGAAATGCTTAATTGGCGTTATTACTACATCTTTTATATAGTCGCACAGGCAGAACAAAACTGAACATGTACTAACAAATCCTAAAAAGAACATTGAGATCACTGTAAAACACGACTGTCACCGAAGACTAGTACCCCGTTGATTGGCAAAGTGCACTTGTTCAACACATAAAAGGAACACTAGACCATTGCTATGCTTTAATTTGGCAATAGAGGGTGTACACGTCACCATTAAGGTGCAGTCAATGCATTTTATTTACCGAGAATAAACCGCTCATAGCCAAGCGCCGCTGTGTACATTTATATATTAGTCGCCAACGGCCTATTTACACCAACGCAGCAGAGGTGCTGCCACTTCTAGCCTCATCTTGTAGCAGATAGAGCACAGCGTAAGCTCAACACAATTGCAGTAACTGTGTAGCTCATGATGCTCCAATCAGCTAAAGGCTGTAAACTTCGTGTTTATGACATTGTCACTTTAAATTAGGGCATCATTTATTGAGACAAAAGCAAGTGATTTCCAGCTGGCTTTGAAAATTACAAGTTCCAGGCTGCATGCTGCGATATAATGTTTGGCTTACACGTTTTCAGGAGCTTCGACTACCGATCTGCATCATTTTCTGAACATGCTCAAAAAGTGTAGCAAGACCACTTTCATCACTCATAGGTTGCACTAGTTTATAGCACCACTGGCAGAGCTAAAAGCTCTATTTTGTCTTTGCTAAGATCCACCATGGTGGCTTAGCAGCTGTGATGTTGCCCTGTTAAGCTCGAGATGCAGATTAGCTAGCTCCCAGCCATGGTGGTTGCATTTTGATGGCAAAATCCAAAAATAGTCAAGCACTTAGATTTGGGTGCATGTTAACATACTCCAGGTGCTCAAAATTAAGCCATTACGGTCTGCCTAATGGTTGCATATTCCTTTTGGCACATGAAACTAGACTTTACTGCCGGGTAATTTCTGAACAATTCATATGTGCTGTAGTTGAAATAAAAGGGCTCTGTTCAACACAGCTATGCTGTGTCTGGTCAGGTGTTAACCTGAAATTGCCAATAAGCTTATCGGACTGTTGCTCTCTCTAGGGCAACATTGTTGGCTTCAAGGGTGAGCTGATTCACATGTATAACAAGAACCAGTGCCACGTGAGCAGTCCTGCATACCACCAGGCAGTGAAGGAGAGAACTAACATCCTTCTCTTAGGAGACTCTCTCGGCGACCTTGACATGCTGACTGGCAGTCAGAAGCAAGAAGTGGTTCTTCGCATCGGTTTTCTTAACAGCAGAGTATGTAACTATTATTCTTACTTTTATGTACTTGAATCTACCAATACTTAATGCTGAGTTAGCCAAACAGTTGATAGTTGTGTATGGGTGAGGCACAAAAGAAGAATTCTTGAGGAGGCGAAACTGCACTCGCTCGGGCGCCCTGAAACCGTCACGAAATCGGGCACAGCACTTATGCGCTCTCTGTCGTGAAACTCCGCTTGTGTATCAGGAAAAGTGTGCGTGCCGCTCTTGCTCAAAGCCACCGCTCTCCGATTCGCAGTTCGCACGTCACGTCCAACTGGGTGTCTGTCTGTGTGTCCTCGCCGACTCCAAATTATAACGCTCCAGTGTTAAAGAGCTCGTTTCGTAGAAAGGCTAAGAAAGATGCAAATGTCTCTACAGGTAGGAATCGCGCTCACGCATTCATCATGGCATGCAGCTGTTCGACCACAGAGGTGCAACACTGCTGCAAACTGCTTTGAAAAAAAACTATATGAATGCCATGCAGTGTCATGCAACATTTCATGTCACATGTCTATGTGACATGTATAATGGCATGGCAGAGTTGCCGTCCGAGAAGTGCTTTTCACATACGTAGTGACGAGGTGTCAGCTCATGATATCTTTCCTAGATATGGCGCGAGCCCACACTTCCAACGTCACCGGGTCACTAGGAACTTTGAAGGTAATTACCTTCTCCTTTCAGGATGTGTATTCGTTTTTGCAGTTTGGCTGAGTACAATTGCACTCCATCCTGAAGGAGCATTGCTCGAATTTTGCATGTTGCAGTGTGAAAAGCACGTGCCAACAGTCAGCGCCATCGGCGCAACACACTGAAGCCACTGAGAGCACTAAAGAGACAGAAAGCGTATATGTTGCAAAGGGATTCGCGACACTTTTGGGGAACTTTCCCATCCAAGGCCACCCAGGCATGCACGTCCACAACATGCGAGCAAAGAGCGAGAGGTGCATGCATGCGGCAGACGTCGTCTGCTTCAGAGCCATTACAAGCAGCTCATTTCAAGCGTGTTGCGGCCCAAAGTTGTGGAAGTATTATTTAGTAACTGCCACTGAAATTTCTGTCACATCTAGTTGTTCATGTTACACAGAAAAATTTGAAAAAGTTTGCAGTGTACAACGCGCTATCATGGTCTTTATGTGTCGCATCCATATAAACGCATGTAAATATTTCAACAGGCTGAAAGCGTCATCGCTTGAGCATTCGCATAAACCACATCACTCCATGACACCATCCCTCGCGCGCTGACGCGGCCTGGGAGTTTCTCCTCCTCAAATACTTCTTTCTCCGTGGGATAAGGCCCTTCACTTTTGAATATAACCTGCTTTCTTCCGACTTTGGCCGCCTTTGGCTACTTTGATGAAAATTTAGTTGTGGAAATTGTGCTGGACAACATTGTTACCATCTGACGTGTGTTATCACAGCAGATAAAATTAAATGTCTTAATCAGAAATGGTCTCTAACCAAAAAAAAAGACAACTTTGTGAAGATGGTCAGGGCTTATTCATAGCTTGTTATCAAACAGATTGCCATGGCATGTGTAAGCTCCCCAAATAGTGTCCAAATAAGCTTAAAGTTGTAACAGAAGGTCTAGCACAAAGAGGTAAACTTATTCTATATTGTAGTTAGCAGTCATCATGTGCCCATTTTATGAATTTCACCTGGCAGGACCAGTGACCAGGTATGCGGGTAAATATCTATGAAGAACAAATGTGAAGATATGACAAAAAAGGAAACACTGCTGGAATGTATATATGTACCTGCCCTTGAAAATGAAACATAGCATTTTGTACCCTGAAGAAAATTTGTGCTTGTTGGCACTGACTTTTGTGGGTAAAATGTATCTTGTAAAAGCACAAGTTTGGAATGTATTGCAGGAAAAACTTAATTGCCCTCTGTCATTTTTTCTTAAAGCAGTGGCATTTTTTTTATACTTTATGAGGTGCTCAACAAAAATAGAAAAAAAAACAATTGTGAAAACATCGAAATTCTACTCGGAAGATGCGAGTGTCTTAACAGCTTATTTCAAATAAAACAGCAGTCTCATTTTTAGAGGATTGTCGGTGCACAACGGCTGCACACCAGCGTTACCAGCGCACGCAGGGCTGTTCACCGACACCTTTGGCATCAAATGCCCGAAGGCAGATGCATTGTGTGCATTTCTGTCTCCTGCTACTCCCTTTTCGCCATCTCTCCTTTATATCCTACTTCTAAAGTGACTAGATGTCCCGATTTCGGCGGGACATGTCCCTGTTTTCCGGCTGCGGTCCCGTTGTCTTCCTAAACTGCTTGCGGGATGTCCGCAGCGCAGCCACCTCCAGCTAGCCCAGAAACTCTCTGCTATAATATGTAATAGTAGTGGTTAGGAGGAAAAAGAAAAAGGTGCTTACTTTTTGACCCTTCAGGGAGCATGGTGCAGTGCCTTGAGGGGGAAGGGGGAGACAGAAGAGTAGATAGAAAAAAGAGAGTGAGAAAGGGGTGCAAGGAGCGAGGCAGATGAGCGGAACAGCGATTTTTGTCGAGACTCCTGAGGGGGGGGCTTATTTGCCTCAGGGGGGGAATGACCTTTGTCACTCCTGGTCGCACCAGACTGCAAGCTCATGTGTTAAAGGCAGGGGGCTCACAGTGGGTGGCCCTCTGGCAGGAACTGGATCACTGCCTGCAGAGTAGTCGAGATGTTAGCGATAAGGTGTCTCTCAGGTTTTCTGCTGGCTGGAGGGCATGGCCTGGCGGTGCATTGTTGGTGAATGCTGCAAATCAGTAATTGTGGTGCTGCTAAGAGGCGGGCTTTGCTTCAGGGCTGCAGTATAGGAATGTACCCTGTGGTGCTCCTCGTGTACAGCCGCCCTGACGGCCCATTTCGATAGAGGCATGGATAATTGAGACGGGGGTGGCCACCTGTTGCTCCTGCCAGCGAGGGCACATGGGATCGCTGTCTGCGTGTGCCCTACCACAGTTCACACAGTGGGGTTTGCAGCTCCCGTCCTGCAGGTGTCAGTGGCCACAGCAGATGTACTCGCCATTGTGCTGGCATGCCTCAGTGACATGTCCAAAGTAACCGCTCTGCCGGCACTAGTATGGCCGTGGCCAACACGGTGCACATGCAGTTGTAGGCTGTGCAGGAGCGTCCTCACAAAGCTCACGGCACAGAGCTCACAATGCATTTCGAAGTTCACGGAGCGTCCCTTCCTGGTCGTGGCAGTCACTAGAGCAGCTGAGATGATGCCTCTGAGCAGCTCCACATCTGTAAGGTCTCTGTCCAGACTGCATATGAAGCCAATGCTGGCACCACAGTCGGCAGATTGCCTGGCGGTTACGGGGATGCCTCTGTGATGGAAAGAAGCTTGCGCAGACACTCTGGCATCGTCGCATTGGTGGCGACGGCATTGCGACGGTGGTTGACACACACAGCTGCGACACTGGGCTGCCCAGCAGATGTCGCCCCAAGCGTCAGCACGACGTTCTCCGAAAAGCACCGCCGGTGCAAGAGAGACGATAGAGGGCTGTCCCTACCACTGCTGCATCTGCTGCGAATGCCGCAGCATCCAGGGTTCTGGCTCTCGCTGTGCCGCCTGTGATTGTGACTACTGTGACTAAGGCATGAGAGAGGTGTGGGCACGGTTGCGACATGGCGACCATGGTGTTGCGAGGCTTTGGTAGTGCCTGGGCCTCTGAGGTGTGAAGGGGAAAGCTGCGGTGCTGCATCCTGTGCCTCCTCGTCCTCTGTCTTTTCCGACTTTTCTTTAAAGGTGGTGTAGTCGCTGAGGGGACTCTCACCGATGTGACCTGCATGGGGCAGCACTCAACGGTGTCAACTGCAGTTGACATAGCTGCGACAGTCATGGCCTGCATGAGAGGACCAGCGGGCTCGTCCATAGTCGCTTGCTGTGTGGGTGCGCCTTCAGGAGCACTGCGTGTTCATCACTTTTTTGTATCATGAGAAGGTGAGAGACGCAGCGACATACTCTATGAGGGCGGGGCTTGGGGGGGGGGGTGGCTTCCACTGAGTCTGCGCTGATGGTGACAGCTGCAGCAATGCTTGGGGCGGGCAGGGAGGGTTGCAGAGATGATGGGTTCGTCTCCTTGTCTCACTCCTCTAGCCACTCACCAATGGTTGCTATTGCTTGCTGCTCAAGGAGCTGTTGTGTCTGGATGGCCCGTTCGAGGGCCTCTCTCTCAAGCAGCCACTGCTCCATTTAGCACGCTATCTGCGAATCCCTGCGCTCTCTTTTCACGGATCCGTGCACGCTCCTCAGGTGTGTAAGATTCCATGGCCTGAACAGGCTGGAACACAGACTGGGGCATGCTCGAGAGTGCCGCACTCATGGTAGCACACCACCAAACCGTGCAAACTCACTGGTCGTTCACTCCCAAGGGAGGAAAAAACTTTTATGGAAACCAGCAGTTCAGTTGGCTGGGCCTAGGCCTCCTACATGGAGATGTTAAGGTCTTGCCTCTTGGCGGTTTGGTGGGCTTGCTGGGTTGTAATGTAGATAGCTGGGCCAGTGGGTTTGGACCCATGGTAACAAGCTTGGTAGCCCAAAGTCTGTTGTTGAGCTGGGAATGACGTGTACAGAGCGGTGTACCATCTCGACGAGAGGGTCTTGGTGTCAGTGGACTTGTGTTGGGGTTTACATTGCCACAGCACATGCGAGAGCGAGGCTACCTGCAGATCTTACAAGTGTGGTTTGAATAAATTTCTGGGTGTATTTTATGGTATTTCATGGTTCGGAGAAGGTTCTTATTTCAAGATAAATTTTTTCATGATGTCATTGTAGCTGGTGAGGCAATCACTTTGCGCGGGTACTCCTGCACGCTACAGTGTGTGCGACCTTGTTGTGGTTGGTGAGGTGTGTGTGGGTGTCGCTGGCACGTGCTGGAATTCACAGGAGTATGATTTGGTTTTCTGGTGAGTGAGGGGCTCGGTTTAGGATGCCTAATGCTTTCTCTTGTACGTGGACGTTAGGCTGGGTTGGAGGGAGACGAGGAGGAAGAAGAGG